CTTATAGTGATTTTGGTGGTAGTACAGTTGATAGGAGCAAAGTTATTGAATGTTATTCCTAATATAAATTCTTTAGAAATAGACTTAGGTACATTACAATAGAAATAGGTACATTTCACCAAACTAAGGGGTGTAGTATGACCATGATAACATTCCAAAAGCCTTATAGTGATTTTGGTGGTAGTACAGTTGATAGGAGCAAAGTTATTGAATGTTATTCCTAATATAAATTCTTTAGAAATAGACTTAGGTACATTACAATAGAAATAGGTACATTTCACCAAACTAAGGGGTGTAGTATGACCATGATAACATTCCAAAAGCCTTTAGTGATTTTGGTGGCTCTTCACTCTTTGGAAGCGAAGTTATTGACACTATCCGTTGTCGATTTGCACTTTGTAGACGGTCCCTAAGCTCTCCTCAGACAGCGGACTGCTCATAGGGAGCAATGTTATCCGTATTTCTGTAAATACATATTGTTTGGACGAAAATCCGTTTGTAGCTCATTGTCTACCTTACCGCTGTTAAATAGACCCGTATATTGTGTTGTAAGAACGTTTTGTTTAAGATCTATTGAGCCGCGAAGTTCGAATCTGCCAATATCTTTCCAACTTTACTGAACTAATGCAGTTGACGTTTTGTTTGCGTATTTTTAGTTGAATATCTGCATGTAATTAGAATAGAATGCATTTTCACTAGAGATGGCAATTTCGAATCATCAAAACAATTTCGAAACATTCGAGACAATGTTTAAACAGTAAACAGAGCGTGAGACGTGATGTTTTGTCCGTTTTATGTGAATTATTACTGTCACGATTGGGTAACAAGGAAGACAGATCCAGAAGTGCGGGGAAAGGGAGGCTTTACTGTTGAGTTAACAGTAAGCGAGTTATAGAGACCCGCTGTATACAGGCAAGGGGTGACAGCTCCCAGTCCGATCGCTGGTGGTGAGGGCGGCGTGCTGAGACTGAAGGTTCCCGATGAGGAGCCGAGGCGAAAGTGCGGAAGGGGCGCGCAGAAGTCGAAGTCGTGATCCAGAAGCGAAGGTCGATGCCAGGGGAATCCGTCCGACACGAAGAAACCGAAACAGGGCACACGAGGAAAGGAGGACAGAGGACACCGGGCTCAGCAGAGCAGGCAGGTTAGGATCGGGAACTGGGCTATGGGAGGAATGGAAGAAGGTGAGGATCACACAAGGAGAGAACAAGTAAGGCGAGGTTAATCGGGGAGACTGAAGACAGATTGATTGCTCAGTAAGGCGTCTATACACCTGCTCAATACTTCGCACTGATGGTTTGGGGTGTTTGGTTTATATAGGTGGTAAATCGTCTGTACCCTGTAGGCGCGACAATTACAGCCAACTGGCTCGCTTGTGTGTTTCCTGTAGGAAACGTCACCGCGGTTAAGTTAGCCTCATATTCGATATTCAATTTTCTGGCTTTAATAACTTTTAACGGAAGTAAGGTGGGGCGTTTGTAATGACAGAATTGTGATGTCCAGTACACAGACCACGATGCACTCCGATTTTTTTTGCACTTCAAACCATTTCGTGATTTATGCAAAATCGTGTTGATAGCTAATATAATAGGTCCTTTCAGCTGTAATGACATGGTGGTTTAGCATTTTGGGCTCAAAGCGATTGTTGCACACCCTTTTCCCTTATGAAAATTCACTATGGTTTCCTATGGTTTCTATGCAGTAACCATAGTTTTACTATGGTACCTCATGGTACTTTGGTACTACCCATAGCACTACCATGATTTGGAAAGACCATGGTAAAACAAAAACCATGGTTTATGACCAAGATTATACTAGGGTTTAACTGTAGCGAAACCATGATAAAACCATAGTCATGGTTTCCATAGTTACCAAAAAAAAAACATGAAAAACGGCAAACCATTGTAAACCATGGTTATTTAATCATAGTAAAACTATGTTTAATTTTCGTATGGGTTGTTTCCCAGATTGCTTTATGTATGAATTTTACTTAATTTATGAATTGTTGAGTGAAATGTTAATTTGTTTTATGCAATGCTAATTTGATTTGCCCTTCTCGGCCACCGTATAATATAATGTATTGCCACACGAGTCAGAGCCTGCATTTTGCAACTGCCCATCACACACTGACGTTGTAGAAATGATTAACGACGAACTATTACCATTTTTGAATTAAATGAATTAAAATCTTCATAAGTCCGGCCTCAGTTTCCCACGTAATGAACCAGGCAGTTACCAGATAGCATGTTAGGTTATCACATGCTAAATGTTTTGGTAGGAAAAGTACACGTCTGCTGATGGTTATTCTCGAACATATTTGTTTTAACAAGAAGCATAAATGATGGAAATAATCATTTTTGTTGTGATATGCATTACATTAATTGTTTTATTCAATTTTTTTAAATGCCTAAATCCTATTGCTGTTTGGAGTGTTTGCATGCTACACTAAGCTAGAATGCCTTCCGAAAAGGATTTTGGAGAGAGAGGCAGCAAAGGGGAGCACATCCTTGCAGATTTGGTTGCAAGCAAGCAAATCAAACGGTGAGACAGACACATTGTGATAGAAATGGCAATCCCTACATTATTTGGTGTGAAATGGGGAAATAGGCCCATATTTTCAGACTTATTGTAATTAGTAATTTTGCACTTTCAAACTATTGAAGATCTTGCCTGTGCACAACAAAAATGAGGACTGTCAAGTCAGTGCTTGAAGTATTCAAAGAACATGATGCTCACATCATATTTCCCACACTCTTCAAGTTCATCAAAATATATGCCACAATACCTGTCTCAACTGCAGCAGTAGAATGTTCCTTTTCAAAGCTGAAACTGATCAAAACAAGGCTCCGAAATCAGTTTGGTCAAGAGCGGCTGTCTGACCTCCTCTTGCTGGCCATAGACAGGGAAATGGAAATTGACAAGGAAGAGGTCCTCAAGATTTTTATTGAAATGGCCCCCAATAGGAGGATTCTGCTTAAAAGTAAATTTGTATATTAATAAAGACTTAATAAAGAAATTGTATATTTTTCAGTTCTTCATACAGTCTGTGATTATTATTTTTTTGGGGGGGGAGAGGGTGCCCTTTTTTCAGGTCAGAGCAGTGGCCCCTTGAAATTCCTGTGCATGTCCATGATTATTTTGATCACTGTAAAGACGTTAGCATCGATTCTAAGTAATGTGCGTTTAAATGCCAGCACAGTGCTGGGCAAATTTACACTGATAATTACCATCAAGAAAATGCCTGGAACACACTTTCAACTTTAAATCGGACAAATCGTTTTGGGCAAACCAGCAGCGGTGTGGCTATAAAATTTTACTTAGTCATAGGTCTATAGATCAGCTGGTGTGGCCATTCTTTTTCTTATTTATATAATTTTAAAAGGAAAATAATTAATTCAAAAGCTGATGCATTGGGACACAGCATAATTCTCCCACCACTGTGTTTCACTGTGGGGATGGTGTTCTTTGGGTTATACGCCTCTCCCTTCCTTCTCCAAACATAAGCAGTGTCTCTATGGCCAAAGAGCTCTAGTTTAGTCCCATCTGACCATAGGACATGCTTCCGGTATGCATAATCTTTCTCCAGATTGTCCTGAGAATACTTTAGTCTGGCTTGTAGGTATCTCTTCTGCAAAAGTGGAGTCTTTCTTGGTCTGCAACCTCGAAGTCATTCCTATGCAGAGCTCTAGTGATTGTCTTCTTAGAGACCACCATTCCCGACTTGGCCAAGTCTTTCTTTAGTTTTTGGCAGTTGTTCTGGGGTCTTTAGACACATCTCTCACTAGTTTCCTTTACAGGATCTTTGAAATCTTTCGCTTCCTACCTCTGCCAGGCTTGTTCTGTACTGTGTGGCTCTCTTTGAATTTCTGCATTATACTTCTCACTCCAGTTCTTGACACTTGGAAACGCTGTGATAACTTTGTATATCCTTCTTCTGCTTTGTGTGCATCAACAATTCTTTTTCTCAAGTCCAAGCTGATGTCTTTTGTTTTTGGCATGGTGCTTTCTCAAATGACAGCTGAATGACCCTTACTGAGGATTTCACACTCAGTTTTATACCTTCTGTTTTAACTTGATTAAGTTAAATCACCTGTGAAGTTAAAGCACATTGTTATACATAAGTGGCTTGTATAATGGCTCAATAAATTGTAATTTCTTAAAGGGGGCTAATAATATTGTCCCAGGTCATTTTTGTTTTTTCTGAAATAATTCTGCTATTTTGTGCAAATATAAATAATTTATTCCTTCTAAAGAAAACTAATATGTTCACAAATGCTATGTTGAAAATTCCTTGCTCTGTTAAAAATGCATTTTGGAAAGTCTTGAAGAAACTTCAAATTTCATAGGGAGGCTAATAATTTTGTCCTCAACTGTATGTATTAAATCCTGCTTTTAATCGGTCTGTGTAACTGTCATAACCTGATGGATATATGGAGAGAGTTACATTTTGGAAGAATTTTGATGACTAAGGTTAAAAGTCTTTTAAGAATAACAGAATGGTCATTCTCCTGCACCCTGTGGTCTCTCACAAACATCCTAACTTCCTGGAAAGAATCACAAACATAAAATAGCGACTAGGAAATCCATATAAGTAAATGTAGAGGATTTATTGACTCTCAGCCATAAATAGAACTTTCAGCCAGCTGTCACGTTTCCGGAAGAAGGAGAACGGGGATCCAGAATAGCAGGGTGCAACAAGTTTATTAAACACCGGGACGTGCGATCTCCGCAGGAGAGCGGTCCCACAGGGGTTCGGGTAACCGGCCCCTTTGACTGACTGGTCGAGCCCAAACAGGACACACCCGTGATATTCACCACGAGTGGAGCCGAGGCGAAGGTACAAGAGCGGCACGCTGAGATCGTTGTCGTAGTTCGAGATCCAGGGTCGAGGTCCGGAGTAGTCTGTCCGACGTGTAGATACCAGGACACGGAACACGAGGGAGACGATGGACTTGGAGGAAGAGGTAAGTCAGGGACGGGAACGGGTCTGAGGGGGGAAGGCACGGAGGCAAGGATCATACAGCGGGTCGACAGGCGGGACGGGAAGAAGCGGGTAAACGAGAGACAGAAAAAACGCTTGGCAAGGCACGAGATCATCGGCACAATACTTCGCAGGGTACTCCTGCGATCGTAAGGCTTATAAGCCTGGTCTAATCAGCCGGCGAGGTGGTGTCTCCGTCTGGTCCCGCCCCTGAGGGCGTGACACCAGCACTGTTTATGAACTGAATGATTCTGAGTTTCTGGTAACTAAGCAACTTACTTTATGGCGTTTTCCAAATAAATATCAGGTCTGGCCCCGTTTTTTTGACAAGCGTCTTACTCATTCTTATGCCCTGACAGCAAACACAGTGGGATGAGAACTGTGACTGACACAAATGCAATTTACCACTGCGATGTCAGCGTTGCTATTTGTGCTGTGCTATTTTGCAGAATTTTGCACAATCAGGTTTGCACGGAACGTTGCTACCTGTCTGCTAGGCGAAAACCGTCGACTGGAGACGCGTGAAGGACTTTTATTTTTTATGATCGGGATGCAACATCAGGTTGAATTCTGATAGACATTTTAATCAGAATTTAGTTTTTACCACAGCCATGGTATTTAAATATGCAACATACAATTTTTCCTCAATCAAAACATTTAACCCCGTGCACAGACGAGTCTTGCCACGGACACATTGGTCTGTGTGTGGACAGGCCTTACGGCCCCGGCTCTTTAGAGCAGGGGTCACCAACCTTTTTGAAACTGAGAGCTACTTCACGGGTACTGAGCCATACGAAGGGCTACCAGTTTGAAACGCTCTCCTAAACTTATCTAAACTTCATGTATAATAAACATGTTTTAAGTCCTTTTTTTTAGATATTTACATTTTCAAATCTATATAAATACAAATGTGATTAAAGAAGAATAACAATAGGATAAAATTAAATTTTAAACGCTGCTCACTGGTGAGTTGTGCTATTTTTAGAACAGGTCCGCGGGCGACTCATGGTCCTTAGGGGCATCCTGGCAGGCACCATGTTGGTGACCCCTGTGTTAGAATTTCATACATCTGTAGACCGCAGTATGGAGCAAAACGAAAGTGATTTTTTTTTAAAGTTTGTTGATTTCTTCCTCAAAAACTGCCATGAGAATGGAAAAATAAGAAATTATTCTTGACATAATGAACTAGTACTCATAATGTATGTTTTAATGAGTAAAGCAGCAAAATATATGTTTACCAATTTAATGTTGACATTAGGTAAGATTATCGTATGTAGTTTTATCGGAAATGTTGGGCTTCGGCATTAAAAGTAAACATAGGATTCAATTTCGGGTACGACACTGCTTTAACTAGGGGTAAGTCTTTGTTTTGAAAGTTTCATTGCAATGTCTTTGATTGTTTTCCATAGTTATCCAATGCGATTGTAAAGAAGCACAATGTAAAAGCACTTTTAAAATGTCGAAAAGGAACTTACGTAGACATTGTTTATGGTTTTTTTTCCGGTATCAAATGTTTACAAAGTTAGTCTTGTAATAATAATTATGATGAAACTTAATGTACCGATTTCAAAGTCTCTTAGTTTCAAAGAAAGTACAAATATGTGTGTATTTGTACTACTGTTTATTTCCTTTAAGTTCTCTGTGAATTTACCTTTTGGAAATATGTCACGCCCACTGAAATTTGTTTCAGCTCGTCTGTGATCCAGGCCACGTTTTTCTCCTCTCACTAGCCAACTCCAGTCCAGTTATCTCGAGATCCAGGCCACAGTTTCCACCTGTTCTCATTCACCTGCCAGCTGAACAGAATTGTTTCTAATATTCTGCAGCATTATTGTCTATATAATTAGAGAATGTTTCAGTTATAACTGCTACACTGTGATTTTCCAGTTATTTTCTTCTTGTTATAACTCCTGCTATGTGACCGATTGGAATGTGGTACATTAAGTGTTACTGGTTGTTTGAGTGTGTGATACATGAACCTGCTATCACTTTTGGTTGTTGACTTTTGTCTGCATATGACACTGCTGTCCGCACCCCTTTGACCGTTCCATCCATCATGCCTAAATTGGTGTGTGATGGAAAGCCAATGCATATGAATTTAACTCTCCTGTCACCAGCCGAGAGATGGATGTGGGTTTTCTCCCATTCTTGTCTGTATTATGGACAGCCTGGACAAGGGAATGGTCACCAGCGACACGGTGAGTATCGGTGAACATGACCTCACCGACATGCCGAACCCTCATCACATGGGGACAGATGAAAAGACTCTGGGCTGATTTCAAAATAGAGAATCCTCACATTCTCCCTCCTGTCTGTGACTCATGGTCTCAATGGACAAGAACTGACTCAGATTGGCCATATCACAGTCCATGTGAGTCTAATTTTATTAGGTAATCATCAGAAGGAGAGAATGTTTTTTATATAATTTTTTTCCCCTCAAAGTGCCTGTAATTTTGGGACACCCCTGATTTCTCACACAATAACTCTGTGGCATGGAGCTGGAGGAATTTGGAATGGAGGTGGCTGGTGACAGGAGGAAAACGTGGTCTAGATCATGGACAAGCTGGAACGGGGTTCACTGGATTGATCTAAGAAAAAATGAAAATATCCCTGTCTTAATTTAAATATGTCCCGTTCTCACCCAGGAAATTGACGCAGTCTTGTAAATGTAACACAATGGGAAGGAGGTCCACAGTGCTCTGTGATGGAAGGTGAATCCAAGATATTGACATTTGACATTTGTGATTTATGGTTCGACCAGAGGATGTTCACAACATGCTTATTCTACTTCAGGTTTGCAACATTTATTTAATGCTTTTTCCTTTTTAGCTTTTGGCTTCTATGCTGTTTAATGAAAAGCATGTAACTTGATTAATGGTTGGTTGGTACTTGGTTAGATAACGACTGATTTCATACAGTCTAATAGGATTTTTTTTTCCTTTCACAGACATATTTAATTCTTCTTCTGTGTGTTAATTATAATCCCTGTTACGCATGCGGCCAGGCTGAATATAAAATCGGTGATGAGTGCTGTCCTATGTGCTTCCCTGGTAAGTCACATTATACCATAGTGGCCACAAGTCTGTTCTCATTGCTTTGAAATGTCAGAGGAATCTGGCAGAATAACCAGCATCTCTTCTGTTTCCAGGAAGTCGTGTCTACAGACATTGTACAGCATGGACCAGCACTTCATGTGCTCCATGCATAGGTTCTACATTCAATGACCAGCCCAATGGTCTGGAACAGTGCAACCCCTGTACAGTCTGTGATGGAGGTAACATTTCAGTTCAGTTCAGCTACCCATCTTATTAACTCTTTCATGCTGTATAATACGTTCATTTTTGTCTTGGGTGTTTATATTAATTCTGGTTACTTTTCTCTTTCCTCCACAGGCCTTGGTCTGAAAACAGTGAAGGAATGTACACACTATTCAGACACACAGTGTGGGGTCCTGGAAGGGCACTATTGTATTAATCCTTATATGGGAGGGTGCAGAACAGCCAATAAACACACAGCCTGCAAACCTGTACAGTTCATCAAACAGCCTGGTTTGTATGGATTTCTCATACTCATAATGTATGTTTTAATGAATAAGTCCAGATATTAACTTTGTCTTCTTGAAATATGTTAATGGTTTGAAATTTCTTTACCTTTCAGGAACAGAATACACTGATACAGTATGTGAGGATTGCAGTGACAATTCTTACTCTAATGGCTTTTTAACATCCTGTAAACCACACACAGAGTAAGTTCATAATTCCAATCAGTCAATGATTTTTTGGTGAAGGAAGTTTCTCATATTTCACATGCTTATTTTTACAGCTGTGAATCCAGAGGACTTGTCACAGTTAAAGCAGGAGACCAAGCAGCTGATTCTGAATGTGGAGAGAAAAGTAACACTGCATTGACAGTTATGATAGCAGCAACAATAATAATAATAATAATAATAATAATAATAGCAGTCACAGCAGTAAGTTACAGAAGAAGAAAAAAATTCCCTGAACATGGTAAGAATATTACATACTTAAGTGCATATCAGGATTTATAAAAATGGTTTTTATTGGGTACAAAAAAAGTAATTTCAAGAACTAAAGTTGGCAGTAATCTGAAATACTAAATGCAGAATGAAGAAGTGAACTTGAATGACACCAAGCTGTACTGTGATAATTTTTTTAATTAACATATATCTTTTAGGAATCCGCAAACAGAATAAGGTCTGTTAAATTTCTATTTTTTTTATGCACATATTTTTCCAGTGAATAATTCATGTAATATATTCAACCAACCTTTCATAAGACCAGACTACATTCATATTAATTTCATTCTACAATTTTGACAGGACCCACCCCCAGAAGGTGAAAATATACTGCCAAATCCACCAGAAGTAAGTCAGTATATTAGTAATAACTTTAGGAAAGTAACCAAAGGTCCTTTCATGTATAAGCTGATTGATTTCCATCCCCCTGGGTTCAGTGTAAAATGGGCTCCCATACGACAGTGACTGTGGATCCTGCATTTATGTCCAGGTCTGTGTTACAGGTGTATCTGCTGAATTCTGCAGAGGTTAGTAGTTCACGTTGCTCTTGTGCTAACAGGCAGCTTGTTTCTTCCTCAGGTATAAGATGACGATGTGACATAAACCCACAGAGGAGCCGCCTGATACTTCTGAATGTTTCCCCTCCCCCTTCACAGGTTTAAATTCTGCAATAACCGCAAAGCGGTAAAATAATCCTTGATTTTTCTCCAGAGGAATGCAGCATATACATCCCCTCCTGGCTTTTAGGCAGTGCCAGTCATCCTATTGGACACTGACTTAGCATCCTCTGGCGCCCCCCTCTGGAAAACTTCACCAGAGGGATATTCTTTGTATTTTGAAAAAGAACAAATCTGCTGAAGAGCTTCTTTCTTGGTGATCTTTTTAATAATCCTGGCTCCTCATTTCACTGGAGCCCTGTGATTGGCTCCTACTATGTTTCCCCAACATTGGCTACATAAGTTCTGGCAACATCAAGAAGTCAGCTGAAGGGGATAGCAGCTTCTGATAAACATGAGACCAGACACCTAGCAGCCTGTTAGAGGTGCTTCATGGTCTGTATCTTTGTGACACTGCAAAATTAACATTTTGCTAGCTGGACAGTGGCTTCATTCTTCAGACCAGAAGCAGTAATCAACACCCCCAGGAAAGAATGCTGTCCGCTGGGCCATCAACTGGTCTGTTTTTAAATCATCCACACACCAGATACAAACCTAAATGGCATCAGCAGTATATTGTTTATTGACTGATAGAGCAAATGCTATAGCACATTAAGTTAAATGCAAAGCTATGCTCTATGACGGATGTTATTTCATCTAGACACCATTGATAAGACTGGCAAGCTTGATAAAATTACCTTCTTGGTGTTTGATTTTTAGAAGGTTTTGTTACTACTTTTAGGACTGTCATCCAACAGTGAGTCGGGTTTACGACTTTGTTCATATTATTATTGATGTAGGCAAATATCACAGAGAGAGGTGTTTTGTAATGCGGTCATATTTTGTAACGCTATGAGGTGGAGCTGCAGAGTAATGAGGAATGATCTGGTTCACCAGTGGTTCCCAAACTGGGGGGCGCAGAGGTATTGCGGAGGGGTGCATGTGCCACCCTAAAATACAGTGGTACCTCAGAACTCAAACTTAATCCGTTCAGAACTCCGGATCGAACCCAAAAAAGTTCGAGTTTTGATCGAATTTTCCCCATAAGAAGTAATGGAAAACCAATTAATTGGTTCCCGACCCCAAAAAACTACACCTAAAAATGTTTTTTTAGCATTTAAACACAAAATAAACCGGATAAAACAAGAAGAGCATATACTGTACTAAACACATCTAAGGACATTTATCAAAACAGTAATTTGTAAAGTAAGAAAATAAATGTATCCAATGTGTAAAGTTAAAAAACAAACAAACAATGGGCCTCATTCACCAACTGTTATTACGAACAAATTTGTTCTTCAACCCCACATACGCACTTTTTTTTTTACAAAGATTCTGACATTCCCCAATGTTTTCTTATCTGAATTTGTTCTTAGCTAAGAACAGAATCTATGCACACTCAAGACCATTCGTACGCACATTTGAGTAATGATAGTTTGTTCAAAACAAATAACAAATAATTGGTTATAGCAGTTTTGTTCATTCTACAGTTCATAAAATGATAGTATTTTAATAATTTATAAAAGTAAAATATAAATTTTTTTTAAGTGTAAAAATTATTTTCATGGTAGTAACGGCTATCATGCAGATTGTAAATAGGTCAGAATCTTTGTTTCTGCTGAGAGACGTGCCGCCACTCATTTCCCCGCGTGTTATCTTAGGTCGGCGTTCACGGTTTGACTTCTGAGATTCAGATCGAGTACTAGGTAATTTTTTTCCGAACTGGTTGGTTCGACTTTTAAGAAATTTGAGTTCTGAGTTCGAGAACTGAGGTACCACTGTATGTGTATGTATATATATATATCGACAGAAGTTCCGTATAAGATAAACTAAACAAGTGTGCTTTAGTCTCCACAGACACCTTTGTCCAGACAGACAGGCTGCGGTATGCAATGTAACCGTTTTACATGAGAATTAGGCAATCAGTGGTCATTGTTAACACACTAGAGCACAGCACGCAACAACAAAATGTGTCCTCTGCATTTAGCCCATACAGTATGTGACTTTCGTGACATAGCAGGGGGCAGCTAATTCAGCGCCAGTGGAGCAGTGCTTGGGGGCGGAACCTTGCTCAGAGTACCTCAGTGGTGCCTTGCTGGTCGGGGATTCGAACTTGTAATCTTTCGATTATAAGCGCGCTTTCCCTAACCATCAAGCCACCACTGCCCATCTGTAGATTAGATTAGTGTAGATTAGTGATGGGAAGTTCGGCTCAACTGATTCGCTTCTTTCGAACTGTCCGTTGTAATGAATCGATTCTAAAACTGATTCTATGATTCATTTTTTTTCGTCTTTTTTAATAAACCTGTCTCAAGGTTACGTTGTTTGAGAAAGATAGCGCTGGTGTTCAACAAAAATGTTCAGCTTGACTATTCACAGTAAAAAAACAATATATAAAAAGCAGAAAGGGTGTCGATGCTGAATAATATATGTAGATATATAGTTCTTATTTTCTTTACTTAAGCCAAATTCATGTGCATGAGTATCAAGGACTACATCACAGTTAACAATAACTGCAATATTACCAATACAACACATACCCATACAATGAGCATAAGTAAACTTGCATACGTTGTGTAAACGTCAATGTTAATAAATATCTTAGTTTGGTCTTTGATGAAAGACATATAGTTTTATTATACAGAAATGCAACAATTTACTGTTGTGATAAATGACGAAGAGCTGCGTTTATTTTATTCCTTTTAACAGCGTAACTGCATTTCCGCAGTAAATGCCGCGAGGGCTCTTGGGATCGGTTCGCGAACCGTTTGTTTGAGTCACCGACCGAGTGTCCGAAAACCCGTAAGTTCGATTCGTTCATCGAACAGGCTCTCGGGGAGTTGCTGAGAGCGTATATCAATAGACTCATACAGCAACCGGAGTCTTTAACCCACATTTCTGCAGAAAAAACGTGTAAATAAATATTATTTTATTTGTCGGTTTGTGTTATTGTTTAGTATTACTTTATTATGTTAATATACAAATATAGGCCTATACTTGTGATAATTTGCTTTTAAAATATTTGCAAGCATATTGTGCACGAGTATAAGTGACTGAACCACGGGTATTATTACACAGGTATAATAATAATAACATTGATAACATTAGCGCTAATAAAATAGTTATTACAGGACATATGAATTGTTTATGTATGGTCTGTTTTTACATTGTTGATTGCATTCAGTCTAGTCTTTGCAACAATTTCGCTGGAGAAATATCACACATTTGCACATTTATTTTAATACAGGAAAAGACATGTGCGAGTAATTGGACCCTTGAAATGACATGAAAAGACAAAGTACAGTAATAATACTGTAAGCAGTCACATACAATAAGCACAAATAAACGTGTACAAACAGTTGTATAAACGCCAAATGCAATAAGTGCGTTATTTTAATATGATTTTATCCGAAAACCCGTAACTTCGATTCGTTCATCGAACAGGCTCTCGGGTTTTTTGGAGTCAGCGAGTTAGAGACCAGGTACTCGGGTGTTCTCGGCACCAGACGGAAATCTACGAACGCAAAAGTGACGAATGTAAGTGACGAACATAAGAATAAACTTAAAAGTGATAAGACAAGCGCAGACGGAACATGAAAAATAAATCC